CCCATCTGTATTAAAAAAACAAATTGTCTGAAATCTAAAATTCAGGCAAACTATCAATCTCAAAGTGCTACAATGTCAGTGATTGGTCCACAGTGTGAAGTGATACTGCTGGCGCCCCAATTAAAGGGCAATGCACAGGAAAAAAAAAAACAAAAGACACGAACAGAACAGAGGATGGAACGGGTGAAGAGCAACGTACAGAGTGCACAGCAACCGGAACTGACCTGTCGCAGATCTCGCTACAGCGCGGCGGTACCTGGTTGTTACGGGTTACTGCACTTTGCCTGCATGTGTACGAACAGTTCAGGGCCCCTGGCCATAGGCTTGGGTTCACTTCAAACGGGTTTTCCCATTCCCATACAAGTCAATGGCAATGCAAAACCTGCTGGAAGCAGGACAGAAGCGCCTGCCAGTGACTTCTGAATGATCCTAGAAGCATCTTTAGGATGTTAATGAAAGCAATTTCCATATATTTACAATAACGGCCAATCAAATCGCAGCCGTTAGCCAATCAAATTCAAGCTGTCATTTCCTTATGCAGGTGAGAAAATACAATGTAATTGTCATCAATGGCTGACTCAATGCTAAGGGATGGTGGGCAACTCCCGCCTTCCGGCTGTGCTTCACCTACAAATCCTGTCATGCTTGTAACTCTCAGTCTTGCAGTGCCTCATGGGACTTGTAGTTCTACAACAGCTGGAGGGCCGGAGTTGCCCACCCCCTGGGTCAGAGTCTTGTAATGCCTCATGGGACCTGTAGTTCTACAACAGCTGGAGGGCCGGAGTTGCCCACCCCTGTGGTAAAGGACGATGGCTATACAGCACCTGCCTTCAGTCAGGTGCAGGATCTAGGTGTACAGAAACAAAAACACTGGGCACCCGGGGCTGCACATAGCTTCCTGAATACATCCCAGCACCTTGCCTCATTACAAGGAGTGGGCGGGCTCTAGGGAGGAGTTATGCAAATATCACAATGTCTGGAATGGGTGTTCCAGAGGCAGGTCCTGGTAACGCCCACATGTGATGCTGGACCTCCATGATTGAAAGAACTGGAATCAAGTGAAAGGGGCGGGACCAGGGACAGTCTGGCTGGGAAGGAGAGGACTACATGATGCTAGATGTCCTTCAGCCAGGAAATGACTTGCTGCAGCTGATGATGTAGATTGTGAGAAGCTCTCAGTGTGCAGTGACATCAGAGGAAGAGGAGCTGGTACAACTGCAAGACTGAAGGGGGGCAGAGTTCAGATTTAAGGAACAAAGTATACGGTTGGCATTATCAACCCCCCCAAGTTTTTATCTTTTTGGTTTGGGATTAATTATGTTTTTTAATAACTATTTCTAGAAACATTTTGTACTCGGAGCTCCCAGGATGCACTGCTGTCACTGAGCCTGGCTGGGCTTTCTAGAGGGAGAAAGCAGAGTCTGTTTGCCTTCAGACCGTCTCTCTCTGATTGAAACTTCCTGCAGGCAGGAAGTGGGAGGAGTCTCGTCTATGACTCTTTTAGTTTTGAGCTGCTGACCTTTGTAAATAAAAGGAGTCAAGCTGCAGATAGGGAAAGATCCGAAATCACAAGCCATCCATACGGGAAACGTCACAATTAGCTCACCAAGAAATGAATTGTAAGTCCTGAGCATCGAAAAAGGTTCCAAAGCACCAAACGTTCCCTTTAAGTGCTATTGTTCCACTGCAATATGGCGGCAGACGAGACGTAACCCATTACAACCGACCTGCAGGGGCATCTCAACTCTGGCTGCTATGGGCAACGCACCTTTCCTTCCTCATTCAACAAAACCCCTCCGAGGCTGAAAGCAGCCAATCAGATTGCAGCCTCCGATGGAAAATGACAGTTGGGATCTGAAAGGAGGTTCCTGATCAGGGGTGGGCAGCTCCGGCCCTCCAGCTGCCCTTTCACTACATATCCCAGCATGCCTCTGGGAGCCATGCCTGTAACTGTCAGTCTTGCAATGCCTCCTGGGACTTGTAGTTCTATAACAGCTGGAGGGCCGCCGTTGCCTTGTCTAGATTGAGAACTAACGATCCTTTGTTATCTTTATGAAGCAAGTGCTGCGAGGGATTCTATATCGCGGAGACAGGAAGTCACTTCTTCCAGGCAATGGGTGGATGTTAGGATTGTGCTGATCTCCGGGGGCCAGACCCCCTGATTGGACACGAATGGCTCGCAACGGACTGCCGAGTGATGTGCAACACTTCCAGGTATCTATTAACTCTCACAGTGCTATGACAATGCCGTCTTCTGCACCACATGACCCTGATTGCATGAGGGAGGGGGCAGCACTGTGAGCCATGGGTCACTGCACACTGCTGCCCCTCTAACACCAGATTGTATGAGGGAGGGGTAGCACTATGAGCCATGGGTCACTGCTGCCCCTCTAACACCAGATTGTATGAGGGAGGGGTAGCACTATGAGCCATGGTGCACTGCTGCCCCTCTAACACCAGATTGTATGAGGGAGGGGTAGCACTATGAGCCATGGTGCACTGCTGCCCCTCTAACACCAGATTGTATGAGGGAGGGGTAGCACTATGAGCCATGGGTCACTGCACACTGCTGCCCCTCTAACACCAGATTGCATGGAGGAGGGGCAGCACTATGAGCCATGGGTCACTGCACACTGCCGCCCCTCTAACACTGGAAACTTGCTTACAAGAGAGCAGAGATGTGATTGTACTAAGGCCTGTGTGCACGGGGGTTTTGGTTTTGTGCGTTCCCATACAAGTCTTTGGGAATGCCAAACCTGCATGAAGCAAGTCAATTGCAAGTCAGAAGGAGATCGGCTGCAGGTCAAAAGCACTTTCGCCAACGAATCCTGAATGATCTCGCATCTCTCTATAGATTTCAGATCTGCATTGTAACAGTCCCCCTGGAGTTCCCCTTTAACTCCCAGCGGAGTCCAACCATCACTAGGACCCCAGTGTGGACTGACCCTTTAAGTCGCCACCTGCCTCCTAGCACAGAGCCTTTTGATTTGCCGCGCACCTCCCTATGACAGCCGCAGCCTTGTGACTTGCACGCAGACGGCCTCTGCAATAGGATTGAAGTGCTACAGACGCGATGGCCCCCCCGGCTAGATTCAGCACACTTCCTTATTACTGATCTCTCCAATGTCTGTACCGGTCTTCCTCAACATGGATATGTCATAAACCCAAATACCTGCAGGAGAAGCATCAGGTGCAAGCTGGCGTCTGACGACTCCGTGGTATAATGGTCTATTGAGAGTCCAGAGAGGGGTAGAATAGCTCCCTCTAGTGCCAGGAGTCGGAATAGCATCCATCAGGCGCTTCTAATGCATTCCGATTGGCTGCTGGAGCCAACCACATCCCATTGCTCCTTGCACCACAGCGGTTAAAGCGGCACGGCGTGGGGCGCTGCTGCTATTGTGACCCGGCAGCGTCCCAAACCGATCGTATGCTAATGGGAGCCGACAGAGTGAAAGCAGTACGAGTTTTGCAGCAGCACCACAGAGACATTAACAGCGACCTGTCGGCCCTCCAATCAAAATCAGTCCGACCAATCGCGTCGCTTCTGTAGGTGAATTGGCGTGTGGCGGATATTGCCGACACCGGAATGATCCGACTGTAGATCAGGGATGTTCAAACCTCCAGCTGTGGTGAAACTACAAATCCCATGATGCATCTCTCTCCGGGAGTCATGTCTGTGAGAATCTTGCAATGCCTCATGGGATTTGTAGTTCCACCGCAGGTGGAGGGCCGGAGGTTTGGACATCCCTGCTTTAGATGGAAAGGAAATACTAACGATACATTCTGCCTTAAGGCCGGGTCCACCTTTATACCCCCTTCCATCTATATTTCGGGTCATTCCGCCCCCATCCCCCCCACTTAACGAAATCGAAGGGTTCCTCCCCCCCCCCCTATAGGCTCCTTGAATTTGGGGCTCCGCATGCACACCCATGTCGTTCGTTTACAGATCCATCCACAGTATCTGTGAATGAAAGACCTCCGGAGTCCCATCAGCCACCGCAGCAGAGGGACACTTAGATCTCGATGGAGGACCAGTGCGGTGATGTCACACACGTGAAGACTTCCTCCGGCTCCATACTGATCTGGTGCTGGAGGAAGACTCTGAACATTGCACCTGCCACCCACTGATCGCAGTTGCAATGCTCTGCAGAAAATTAATAAACGCTCATTTTTGTGCGTTTATTAATTTTTGGCAGAACGTAGATTATGCCTTTAACACTGAGTGAAGCCATTGGACCATCTTCAGCCCTCCACTGGGTAACTGGTGGCTATGTGACCTTATCTGAAAGCACTGCAGCAAAGAACGGAATGAACATTCGCATCATCCCGATCACTGTAGCACAGGGGTAGGCAAGCTCCAGCTGAGGTGAAACTACAACTCCCATCATGTCTGTGGCTGTCGGTGTTGTAAGGCCTCATGGGACTTGTAGTTCCGCAACAGCCAGACTGCCGAGGTTGCCTACACCATGTCTGATTTCAGTGGAGGGATCAGACTAAGGGCTCACTCAGACGGGCATGCGCGCCGTCTCATTGAGCCCCACTGTCTGCGTCCAAGTGTTGGCCCCTGTGCCCGCATGGATGTGCAGGTTGGGGTGTACGTGTGTGATTGCATACAGCCGCATCCTCCCATAGGGAAGAACTATGCTCGCAATTACATGCAGTACTTGGAACTTCCGGGATCGGGTCTTTTGACGGGCGTGCACGCCGTCTGAATGATCCCTAAACCCAAGCTTACCCATAGGAGCTAACAGGCTGTGGGCTGAAACAGACCCAACTAGCCCCCCCTGCAAGTAGTCTATGCGACTGCTGCGGCACCTCTCGGTCAAATCATCACGAAAAAACACTGTGTTTAAAAGGTATAGACCAGGCATAGGCAACCTCTGCACTCCAGCCGTTGTGGAACTACAAGTCCCATGAGGCATTGCAAGACTCTGACAGCCACAGGCATGACTCCCAGAGGCAGAGGCATGGTGGAAGTTGTAGTTTTACCTCAGCCGGTGGTTGCTTTACCCCGGGTATGGACAGAAGACATGGAATGAACACTGTTCTGCTGTAATCCTGATTAACACCGGCAAGATATGTGTGCAGGACTTTAAAAAAAAACAAAATTGAACACTGTGATCAAAACTAAAGCACTTCTTTAAAAATTGCCATCGGGGAGGGTGCCGCAGCACCCCCACCCCCCACCCCCAGCACAGCTTGTCGTTGTTTATCAGAATCCTATGTACATTGTAAACTGCATAGTGAGGTATTATGAGACGGGGAGAGGAAGCGGGCTCTACGACAGGGATTAGTACAACCGACCCCCCTCCCCCCACCGCTGCCAGGGGATCCAACTGGTCTCCTCCGGGAAGGCGAACAGTCTATCACGTAGATCTAGAAGAGGTAGATGAGAATTGGCACTGCTATGGTAACAGAGGACTCAAAAAAACAAACAAAAAAAAAACAGGTTCTCCTTCAGAAGGACCCGTTCCTAAACACATCCAGAGGTGGGCCGAAGGGAGGGGTGTCAACGCAGGCTCAAGCAGAGCACTTGAAGCCGGCCCGTCGGCCATCTTGTCCCACCCTCCCGCCGGGGGTTTTTCACATTGTCGGGTTATCTTTCTCATTTCCACCAAACGTGGAACGGTTTGGTCTCTGGTCCTGAGGTAAGATTCTCTGTTGCTGGGAAGGGGGAAAAAAAAAACTAGACAGGTAGGGTCACTTAAGACCTCCTTGATGGTGGCCAACGTGTTCGCTCGGAAGATGGCAACAAATGAGGTAAGAATTCAACGAAAAAAAAATGTTAAGTTTTCACCGCGTTTACTTGAAGGCTTGGTGAAACTGAGGCAATGTGGTAGAGTTTAGGTCTGAGGTAAAATGAGGCAGGGCCAGGTCTCCGGCCATGGAGCCCGTTGACGTCTGCGCGTGGCCCAGAGAAGACAGGAACGGCTGATGCTCTCCCGCCGTCGGTTCCGGGCCGCCGACCGGGAAGTTGCACGGAGGGAAGTTGAGGGGAAAGAATCCGAGGAAGTGGCTGAAGTCTACGCCCGAGGACAGGGGGTCGCACAGCGCTGAGAGGAAAGACTCATCCAAGGAAGCTTGAGGCGGGAAAGAAGACAAGTCGGCGGAGGGCGGGCCGAAGCCCCCAGACCCATCGGGCACGTAAGGATCCATCTCACTTTTTGGAAAGTATGAGGTAGATGTGAACTGGAACCTGCTCGATGGATCTGTTGAGAAGGTAGGTGCACTTTCGGCGGGGTAGTTGAGCCCTAGGGACAAGGAGTTTGGCATCAGGGACGGGGGAAGGGCGGGGCTTGGCATCGGCTGAAAGGGTGTAGTGTACATTCCGGCTACTACGTTGTCTCGGGGCTGCATGCACATGACCGGCCCGAACTCTTCCTTCACGACGGCCGGTCGGCAGCTCACGTTGCTGTAATCGTCCGGGGGTTCCAGCTTGATCTGCACCTCCTCGCAATGGCTCTTCTTCATGTGCCGCGTCAGGTGGTCCTTGCGCCCGAACATCTGGGCGCAGCAGTGGCACTGGAAATCCTTCCGCCCGGTGTGCACCACCAGGTGGCGGCGCACGTCCTTGCGGGTGTAGAAGCACCGGTCGCAGTGCTCGCACGGGTACTTCTTCTCCCGGTTGCCCGGCGGCGGACGGTGGTTGTGGCTCTTCAGGTGCTCCAGCACCGACTGGCGGTCCCTGAAGACCTGAAGGCATATGGTGCAGCTCAGGTCTCCCCGGGCGATGGCGTGTAAGGCGAGGTGGCGGCGGTGTCCGTATTTGGTGCTGTAGTTCTTGCTGCATTCGGGGCACTGCAGGGCCACGCGGTTGGGATTGTGGGTCTGCAGGTGGTTCTTCAGGTGGTCCTTGCGGTGGAACATTTTGCCGCAGTGAAAGCACTGGTGTGACTTCTGCATAGAGTGCGTAGCCATGTGCCTGGAGACGGAGGAGATACAGAAGGACGTGTTTACGTGGTGCAGGCACATCGTTAGAGACATTCCACGTACATCAGAACAAAAGTTCATTTTATAGAAAGCCTACCAACGTGCCGCCGAGAAGGTCCCGTTGTGGAAGAAGCGGTCTCTCTGCAGGGGTCCAACACACCTCCTGCCGAGTCAGAGCTCTCTAATCGGCAGAGCTGCAGCTCGTGGTGTGTTGGACCTCTGCAGAGAGACCACTGCTTTCACACAAGAGGGCAAGGATCCTTCGCTGCAGCATACTGGCCAGGGGACAGACTTTTCCCTCCTTTACATGCAATGGCTGGAGCTGATTTAAACTGAAAATTCAATGTAGCTCATAGCTGATGGCACCAAATATGCCTCGGCCTATTGCTGGCTCTCTGATATGCCTCGGCCTATTGCTGGCTCTCTGATATGCCTCGGCCTATTGCTGGCTCTCTGATATGCCTCGGCCTATTGCTGGCTCTCTGATATGCCTCGGCCTATTGCTGGCTCTCTGATATGCCTCGGCCTATTGCTGGCTCTCTGATATGCCTCGGCCTATTGCTGGCTCTCGCATATGCCTCGGCCTATTGCTGGCTCTCGCATATGCCTCGGCCTATTGCTGGCTCTCGCATATGCCTCGGCCTTATGCTGGCTCTCGGATATGCCTGGGCCTATTGCTGGCTCTCGGATATACCTCGGCCTATTGCTGGCTCTCGGATATGCCTTGGCACATAGATGAGGGTTACATGTACACTGTACTGCTGCCCTGGCTATCATGCATGTTCTCTGCTGTCAATTATAACCCAGGGATCCTTATGAAACATGGACTGGTCCTGGCGTTTGATGCCAGAGCTCCATTCCAGTGTATGTGTTTAGAGTAGGGATGCACAGATACTGGTATTTTGGTACTGAGTACCGCTAATTTTTTTTCTGTACTCGCCGATACCAATTACCGAGTACCGGAAGTCCCATTCAGGAAGCCAGGTGGCGTGTAAAGACTCGCCACCCGGCTTCCCAATTAACAAGAAAGCCGTCCCGTACAAATCCCTGTCCCCTCTCACCTCGGCATGTCCGGCCTGTCACCCCAGGAGCCTCTCCAGCTAGGAGCGGTCTTCCTCTGGTACCCAGCCGGAGCCGTCTTGCTGGCCAATCATGGAAGGTGGGCGCCGTGTAATGAACGGGAACTGATGACAAGGGAGCATGAAGCCGGCTTCCCGGCCAATCAGAATGCCGGGCGCTGCGTCATTACACGGTGCCCGGCTTCCTGATTGGCCAGCTTCCCGACCAATCGCGAATCCAGGCAGCGCGTAATTACATGCTACCCGGCTTCCTGATTGGCCGGGAATTCGGCACCATGCTCTCATCACAAGTGATGAGAGAGCATGAAGCCGCTTCCCGGCCAATCAGGAAACTGGGCAGCGTGTAATGACGCGCTGCCCGGCTTCCTGATACAGGAAGCATCTGGCTAGGCATCGGAGCATTTGGGCGAGTACAACTACTCGCCCAACAAATACTCGGTATCGGCACCGATATCGATACACTTATCTGTATCGGTGCATCCCTAGTTTCGAGTGGACCACCAATAACGCTACACACGCTGCGACAAGATGGCTACCTGCAGAGCTTGTACTTGGAGGCGAAGGTTTTGTCGCAGAGTAGCTGGGGGCAGGTGAAGCGCTTCTGATCCGGCTGCGGTGGACTCTCCTGCTCGCTGGTGCACGGCACATCCTGTCCGCTGGCGTCCTGTAGAAACCTGCCCTGCGCCCGTTCCTCTCCGCGTTGGAGGTCGCCCTCCAGCTTCCACTCGCCGCGGCCTTCGTTAACTATGGCATTAAAGAACAGCGTCTTCATGTCCGAACTGCTTGTACCGGTGCTACGTCTGATGTCGTTTCCCCATTGGTGCCGGCCGCTTCCTAGATGGACAAAACAGCAGAAAGGGATACATCATGCTGGCGTTATAACTACGAATCTGATTGGGTGACGCGGCGGTGGGGGGTTATGATCTAGCTCCACTGGGGAGGTCTATATGGGTGGGTGTTAGATATTAGTTTACAACTTTCCACTTATACTCGCCCAGCAGCTATGAGGCTGCAACTGTATGCCCCTGCTGTGTGCAACATTGGCTCTCCAGCTGTAGTGAAACTACAACTCCCAGCATGCTGCTGCACCTGAGTCTTGCCTGTGTCTGCCAAGAGTCTTTCAATGCTTCATGGGATTTGTAGTTCCACATTCATCTGGAGGGCCGGAGTTGCCCATCTCTAATACAGGTGATCTGCCTTACCTGGTATAGGATAAGTATTTCTAAAGTAGATACAGGGCAGCTCCGGCCCTCCAGCTGTGCTTTAACTACAACTTCCAGCATGCCTATGTCTCTGGGAATCATGCCTGTGGCTGTCAGAGCCTTGCAATGCCTCATGGGATTTGTAGTTCCACCACAGCGGGAGGGCCAAGGTTGCCTGTTATTTATAAGCAAACATTTAGGAGTGGCTCCAGAGTGACAAGGATAAAACTTACCGGAGTGTGTGTGTTCCTATTCACCCTGCGGGGAGACACGGTCGTAACCACCTCACCATCTTCCAACCTGGAGAAGAGAAGATATCAACATACGTAGAGCTGTATTGTGTCTGGGGGTGCAGGGATCTGTGAGTATGCAAATATAGGGGGGGATGCTTCTACTGGGGAGTACAGGGATCTGTGTGTATGCAGAATATAGGGGGCTCATTATACAGCGTGGTACAGGGATCTGTGTGTATGCAAACATAGGGGGGATGCTTCTACTGGGGAGTACAAGGATCTGTGTGTATGCACATATAGGGGGGCTCCTTATACTGGGTGGTACAGGGATCGGTGTGTATGCAAATATAGGGGGGATGCTTCTACTGGGGAGTACAGGGATCTGTAAGTATGCACATATAGGGGGGCTCCTTATTTTGGGTGGTACAGGGATCGGTGTGTATGCAAATATAGGGGGGATGCTTCTACTGGGGAGTACAG